GTTGGGACTTCTCTGGACAGCAATTTTAAATGTTTCTTTATGACCACTCTCCTCCAAAAATGAAGAGTTTAAGTCTAGGAGACCTGGGGGTGCTGGTGGAAAGCCAGCAGGATGCCTGGAGCACGGGCAAGGTGGGATGACTCCTGAACATCTTCCCTGTGCCACCCAGGTGGGCTGAAGGTTCAGGCCATGCTGCACAAGGGTCACCTCTTGGGGAGCTCCCCACCATCTCAGGCTTTATGACCACTCTCCTCCAAAAATGAAGAGTTTAAGTCTAGGAGACCTGGGGGTGCTGGTGGAAAGCCAGCAGGATGCCTGGAGCACGGGCAAGGTGGGATGACTCCTGAACATCTTCCCTGTGCCACCCAGGTGGGCTGAAGGTTCAGGCCATGCTGCACAAGGGTCACCTCTTGGGGAGCTCCCCACCATCTCAGGGCTCACACACTGGTGGGGGTAGCTCAGGTGGACATTGTATGGCAACAAGAAGATGTTGCTGCCTGAGGTGAGCTGGGTGCCTTGGTCAGCAGCTTGCAGTCAGGTTTCCAGCTGTGTTTTCTGGCTTTTCTCTATGTCACCTCCCTCCATTTCCCACAGATTTGGCAGGTTCATTGTTATTTCACAAGCCTAACACGTGTTCTGGTAGCTCTGGGCTGGGTATGTGCAACCACATGGGCTGAGCTGCAAGGATGGCTGGATTTCTTCATGAGATGATTGACTTTTAGGGCTACTACCACCAGGTGAAGAGTGTGGTGCCTGCTGTGAGATGATATTTCACCAAAAAGGTTGTTAAACTGAAAGGGTTGAGAAGCCCTGACTCAGTTTACCCAGGGCAGTGGTGGAGTCCCCACCCCTGGAGGGGTTTCCAAGCTGTGGAGATGTGGTGTGAGGGACACGGGGCAGTGGGGACCTGGCAGGGATGGGGGATGGTTGGACTTGATGATCTTCAAGGTCTCTTCCAACCAAAAGAAGGCTGATTCCTGCCATGGCAGATGGTTGAACTGCCCCAGCTGAGGCACATAATGGACATGGCATGGAAAACCAGCTTGGCTACAACCCACCTAAGGGTCTCCAGCTGCCAGCCACGTGGTTAAGCCCAGACCAGTGCTTTGCTAACCCCTGACCAGGAGCCACCCCAAGCACATCAGAAGCTTTGCTCTGACCATGAGGATGGTGCAACCAGAGAAGGTCCTGGGCCCCTCTCCACGTGCCACAGCTGTGCTCTTCCAAAGGGACCTCAACCCTCTCCAACTGAGCTGCTACCTCTGGCTGTGGTATGAGGATTTTGGAGCTGAAAAGAGCAAATTAAGGTGGTGGAGACCAAGGGGAAGCTGCCCAGGATCCTCCCCATGCCAGCAGGTCGGTTTGGCTGCTCTACCCATGATGCTGTTGGGCTCTTTGAAGGTACAGAAACGTTGAGCTGCACCATATTTATTTTTAGGCTTTTAAATGTCTGATTTTTTTTTTAACTCTTGTAAATGCTGTACATTTGTATAAATAAATGTTGGAACTGTTCAGCTGATGGGTGAGGTGTCTGAGGACCACATACCACTGCCATCACCAGCCCTGCTCTTCACCATGGTGCCACCCCCCTGAGCTGGGACAGGGTTGTCCATTCCTCCTGACCTCTTCTCCTTCCTCTGATGTCCTATTAGAAATTAAAAAAAAGAAAAAAAGATCTCTAGAGCATTTTGGTTTAACTCCAGTTCTGTCCTCCTGTGTTCTGGGTGTTTTCATGCCCTTATGGACACAAACTGGAGGAACCCAGGAGGTTCCACCTCAACAGAAGGAGAATCTTCTTTGGTGGGAGAGCCTGGAGCAGCTGCCCAGAGAGGTTGTGGAGTCTCCTGCTCTGGAGAGATCCCAAACCCTCCTGGATGTGACCCTGGGCACCCTGCTGGGGGTGAGATGATCTCCAGAGGTCCCTTCCAACCCCACCATGCTGTCATAGCCTCCTATCTTCATTCCTTTAGCACTGACATTATATATATGAAAGTATTTTAAATATATTTTCACTTCACATGTAATTATGAGGTTTAAGGCCTTTTTTTTAAGACTTCATCAGGTTTCAGATATCATTGACACCATTCATCACGTGGAGATCAACCCTACAAGTCTTAGGCTAAAAAAAAACCCCAGCAGGATGACTTCAACATGATGGAACAAAGGCAAATGAAGCCAACACAGAGCTATGATACTAGAAAAACTAAGAAAGTGATACCAAGATGTCAAAAATCCCTCAATTTCCATGCTGGAGGGGTTTCCAAGCTGTGGAGATGTGGGGTGAGGGACACAGGGCAGTGAGGACCTGGCAGGGATGGGGGATGGTTGGACTGGATGACCTTAGAAGTTCATTTCCCAACATTCTCCACCAGCCATCCCTTAGTGTCTACAGGAGATCACTTTAGAGACCAACCCCTCCCAAAAATCCCAGGTTTTATGTGGATGGAGGGTTTGGGTGCCAGGCTCAAAGCTCCACCACCAGCCTTTGGCTTTTCTCCAGGCAGGACCACACTTTCTTTCCTTAACAGATGACAGCAGCATGGGAAAACAAAAATCCAGCTCATTCTTCCCCTCACTGACCAGAAAACCTCATTATTACACTAGAATTTGGGGAGTAACAGTTAAAATTTTCATTTTCACTCACATTTTCCCTGAGAGGCTTCCCACAGGTCTCCAGAACCTGTTTTTCCTCAGTGGTTGGGCAGGAGCAGGGGTGGAAGGGGTTCATTTTAGTGCCACTTTTCCAGTGTCTGACCCAGCAGAAAGCCTGAAGAGGAGGAGAAGGCTGGAAGAGAGAGGATTTATTCTGAAATTGTCCATGTGGTGTAGCCCTGAGGCTGATCTGAGAGTCTTCTGCTGAAAACCCTCTTTTATAAAGGATTTCTAGGTTCAAAGAGAGATTTTTCAGCCTCTGTGCATGCAGGTAAAAGCTCAAGCTGTGGAAGAGCCAGGCAGGTTATGCCCCAGATGTATTTACACACAACATGTGCCATGCATCACTAGATGTTTCTCTTCAGAGGCCAGGCCATGGGTCTGGAGGAGAAGAAGCTGGTCCCAGATGGTTGCTGAGCCTGCAGGGTGTGTAGTGAAAGGCAACTCCCCACACAGCCCAAGATCCCTCATAA